TTTCTGGTGTGAAGGTGCTCCTGGTCTACACTCCAAGTTCACAGAGAAAAAGTCTGCACTTACAGAGCCTGTGTAGAGCAAGAACGAAGGAAAAAAATGCCTCGTGATTGCTCTCATAGTGCTGAAAGTATCTGATGTAATTAACCTGCATGTACGGAGAGGAAGGAGCTAATCGAGCCCTTACCCTGGCAGTCAAAGGGTGCAAGTTAGGTAATTGCCAAGTGCTTGTCTTAAAAACAATAGTCGCAGTCCCGAGGCAGTGAAAGACACTTGGCGTTGTGTCACTGGCTTCACGGGGGTCAGAACTGAGCTCAGTGCTCAGTTTAGACATTTTACACAGCACAGTTCAAGGGGAGGATACTGTTCTCTGTCAATAAAACTGAACCCAGGTACCACAGCATTAGGCAGTTTCTTAGGAAAGGTTGTCAGACTTTTTAGTATCAATACTGTATTTCAGACTTATATTTGCTGAATTACTTTTTTGATAAAACCCTTTAATAAGCAAATCTGGTCTCCATCTGGTGCTGATCTTACTTAAAACACAGTGAGATTGGCAACTAATTAATTCATGGACAGAAGAACTATAAAAGTTGCATAAATCAGTTAATACTAGAAAGTACAAAAATTGTTGTGTCTTGAAAAAACAAACTGTGAACCTTTTGTCTTAGGACAGAAATTATAAGCAAGATGGAGAAATATCTGACACACAGAAATTTTAAGTAGTGATTGTTTGGGTTTTGCAGATTCCTTTCCTATTAATTCTTGTTCCAAAAATAGTACTAGTCTTAAAGCTGGTGACACTTCATGTTCAAGGCAAAATTCTTGTTCTTGAATGATGCAGTTTTATTTTTAAGGCTTTAATCTTGCATCAGTAATTTTAAGTGTTTTCCAGTGATGCACTGAGTGAGGAACTAACATCCTTCTCTGTTGTTTTCAGTACCAGATGATTTTTATATCCAATGATAGACACTCATTTGCCATGAAGATGCAGTTACAAGGAATGCAGTGTAGAGATGTTACATGATTTGATCATTGCTCCCTGGAAATTGTAGTGATTATATATATTATAATATTCAGTTTACCTTCTAGGTCCCAACCTCTTCTTCTGAGGTTCACTAATAGAAAATTATACTAATTTTATTTTTTTTTTAGAATCCATATTAAAAATCTTGTTTAAAATGAGTATGGGAAATCCTCCAGCAGATAAGGATGAAACTTCGCAGGCATAGAATTAAGATGGGATGAGTTCAGAAGAGAACAGTACACACACATGGCTTTGTAGTTTAACAGTGACAAAAGGATGTAAATATACAAACTAGGAGATGGGATGGACACACAGCAACAGTTGTAGAAGCAGAGCTTCCCTGATGGATCAGGATGAGGAAGTGGGTTGGTCCCAGGGTACCAGAGGTGGATGAAACCTCCTGAAGGCTCAGTGTAGTGAGAAAAAACCTGTGGGCTGTTCTATTTGACAGCCAGTTGACCAAAGTCCTTTACAACCCACACTGAAGTTCACTGCAGACTGTATTCCCACGCAGTAATCTGTTTTCCTTTCTCCATAACCTCTAACCATATGATTTTTCATGTGAAATGAGAGGAGGACAGGACACCTCATCAGTGTGAATCAACATCAGACACTCAGGTTTGAGTTCCTCCTCTGAACGCTACCAACTTGGCCCTTTAAAATTCCAAGGGATTTTCTGCTGAAGGTTGGATTTCTATTGTTACACTCTTCCCCCCCCCAAGCACTCCCATCCAGTGCCTAACGTGTATCAAAAAATAGTGCAGGTCAAGCTTCATTCAGTCTCCTGGTTCCTGCATCTGGAAATGTGGCGAGACACAGAAATCCTGTCTTTTCATTTCTCTGTTGTGATCTTCCACTGTACATTTGATAGTGTTCACTGTTACCTTGTGATGTTACATTGAGTGAGACCATTCTTTGCATTCAGTTAGCAACATGCTTAGGCTGGTCAAGAAGAAGATTGTACAATCACCATCCAGGATATGGGCTTTTAGCCTACAGTGCACTTGTGACCCAACAGCCACACACAGCTGTCCCAAAGAGGTGTTCCAAGCCTGCTCCAGCTTGTAGGAACTGCAAGTTACTGTCTGCTAGAGGTAATAAAGATCCTCTCTCCCATCTGACTGAGGAAAGCCTTCCCAGAGAACTCTCAATTGAATCAGGAATATTTCCATGAAAAATGTATCTTCAGAGGACCTAGCATCCTCCAAAGAAAACATTTCATGGAGAAAGTCCCTTGCTTGCTCTATCCTGTATTCCAGTAAAGTACAAAAGTGCCCCTGCATCTTCCTTTACTCGTGTTTCGAGGGGACGAGTGGAAGGAATTGCAGAGACCAACCTCCTGTGAATGGAAAGCTGCTCCTTACAAGTGGTTTCCCGACTGTTCTGAGCAATTGCTTTCACAGAATCACTAAATTTTTAGGGTTGGAAAGGACCTCTGGAGATGATCTAGTCCAATCCCCCTGCCAAGGCAGCGTCACCTGGAGCAGGTGACACAGGAACATGCCCAAGTGGGTTTGGAATGTCTCCAGAGAGGGAGACCCCATGCCCTCCCTGGGCAGCTGTGCCACTGCTCTGCCAGCCTCAGTGTAAAGAAGTTCTTCCTCATGTTGAGGTGGAACTTCTTGTGTCTTAGTTCATGGCCATTGCTCCTCATCTTGTCCCAGGGCATCACTGAAAAGAGAGAACTATCCTCTTGGCACCTTCCTCAGAGATACTGCGTGTCTTTTCCTGGCTTTTTGTGCCTCTCAGGTGATAAGACAGAGCTACAAAGTAAAATATTGTAAGAGTTCCACCTAATTCACACAGTCCACTTAGAACAGCAGCAGATCGAGAAAGGTTCAGGACAAGAAACTGCAGCTCAGGACAAACATCACTCTAAAGGACTGCTCATAGTTAGACAGCAAAAACTTGTTTCACTCAGTAGTACCAAGGAGCCTGTCTATTGAACAGAAAGCTCACAGCAGGACACTGCTGCGCTAACAAGATTTTCTCTGGCTGCTCCAATTCCCTATAGCTTTTTTTTTTCTAATTTTTTTTTCTCGGTAATCGTCTTTCAAACTGCAGCAGCATTTGTTGTCCTGAGGTGCTGACTCCAGTGGAAGAGATTTTAGTGGAAGCTTCTACTGCAGTTTGCACAGGCTTCATTTCAGGTCACTAATCACATCCTCCTCAGGCTCTCCTCGGGTCCTTGCATTGATCATCCTCCAGCTGGGGGAATTGTCTGAGAGGAAGGACGTGACTGTTGAGTTGATGTCACGTTTCTGGATTGAGGGTGGACTGAGGGAAGCTTCTGCCCTTTGGATTCAGGGGAGACCTGACATTTGAATGTGGCATGGATGTGCAAGCCTTCAGCCTTCCTTCTCTGTCATGCACATCTGCGCCCCTCCAGGCAGCCAGTTATGTTGGGAATGGACAAGAAGAGAGGGCAGAAGATGTGACGGGTGACTTGAGCTGGTGTCAGAGAGACAAAGTGTCTCTGCTGGATTAGGCTTTTTCACCAACAAAAGACTCCTGGACTGTCCTGAGTCACCATCAGAAATCCATGTGAAGGACTTGAGGTGACAGGGTAGGAAGTCTGCCCCAAGGCAAATCTGGAGAACAAAACATTCATGGAAATAAAACAGGCTTTATGTTTTCCAGTGTCACCTGTAGAGCCCGATTTGACAGAGCAGGAAAGCAGGAGGCCAGTGGATCTAAAAGCTTGTGATAAAGGGCTGTTTGACATCCTTTGGTATGTTTTCTTGTGAAACCTAGAATAACACAGTGGAGCAAGACTGATCCTTGTGCTAAACTTGCTCCAAAACCAAGCTGACTCCCACCTATCTCAGCAAAAGGGAAGGTTGCTTTGGCTGGATACACGCTAAGGTCCTTGGAGAGCTCATTGCTTCAGTACCTACATGAGAGGAATCTTGCTACTGTACCTGAATTAGGATTTTATTACCCTTTCCCCACACAAATGCCTTTTTTGGTAATATTCTGTGGACAAGGCTTCTTTGACTCCTTTCAGTGGAGTTCATTTTCAAACTGTCAGGGCAAAAGAGGAGAAAACATGACTTTCTAGCCTGAGATTGACTAGCTATTTTCTGGTAGGAATATTTTTTTGAAGGATGATAGGATGTCCAAATGCTGATTGAAGTACTCTCCCTCTAGCCTAGGGAATGTTTACTTGTTTATATAAAGAGTGAACTTTCTGTGATCTTGGCTTGTGACTAGTTAGAAACAGCCCTTAGGAAGGTAGAGATGAAAGTTCAGATACAGATAAAAGAGGGAATTGCAATTCTTGAGCAGGGGCTCTTAACGCTCATCTAGGAGGTAAGAAAAAACAATTATGCTTCTTGTGATCACCCTGATTTCCGGGATGTGGTAGAATTTAGGTTCATAACTAGTGATATTATCTCTGGATTTAAACAGAGGCCAGAGTCTAGGCACTTGGGAAACTGAGTCTGTTAGAAACCACGACTGCAGGATTCTTCCGGAAGCAAACTGAACTGGGATTTAGATGTTCTACATTTTGGATCACAGTAGCTATAGGTACAATTAGTAAGGATTTAAACATCTGACTCCTCTTCTGACCTGGCCTTCCCAGCCCACATGAAGTAACTGTGGCTTGGCCTCAGGAAGCACTGAAGGTCTGTCTAGTGGGGCATCGAGGACCATGTCCTTGAGGTGATAAAGTTAACTGAGAAATGTGTACGGAACAGCTCCTTTACAGATATTGGATTACATTCACCTGCCTCACAAGAGCCCTTTTATCACCTCACAGGATGAGTCCTGAAATTTTTCTAAAGGCTTGTGCAGTGCCAGCTTTCCGTGGGACGGTGACTTGGACGTATATCCAGCGCCATCACTAAAGCTGTAAATACATGGAGAACTTCAACCCTCACAGCTAGTGAAGGCGGTTTGCTAAAGAGATTGCAATATTCAGAGGAGTTATGTGATAAATCAGTAAATGTTGTTGTGTCTGTCTGTTTTTAAGAGCGACCTGGAGCCCTGGCAGTAGCGGTGTTCTCCAGATGGCTTTTCCACGGCATCGTCTTCCGTAACACACCAGTGAGCCACGAGACTGAGATGGAAATTCCAGTGTGGGGAGGGTGTGAGTCATGAGATGGTGAGTGAAAGAAACAGCAGGATAAAAATAACAGAGCACAGTATGATGCAGAATATTAATCTCTTACCCTGTGTTATCCTAGCTTGTATTACATACACTACTATGTTATACTGTGGATGCTCTGCTGCTCAAAACAGATCTCTCTCTGCTACTCCAAAAGATTATGGCTCAGGATGCCAGATTGCAGGGGCTTCTAATACTCGTGCCTTTAAGTTGGCTGAAAATTCTTAATCAAGAAGTTTCTGCCGTAGAAAATATGTAATCAAAGAGTATCAAAATGCTGCATTCATATTTTTTATGTTTTATATGAAAACATGAAATTCTGTTAATTTAACATCAACTGAAAAAAATATTGATTCAAACTTTAATTTATATCTCTATTAAAGTCCCTTTCTTTTTCCAAATTTCCATTTTTTTCTCTCCCTCTACCTCCAGGAGGAGAAAAGAAAGAAGAAAAGTATGAAAATACCATGAAAAACTGCTGTAAAATTCAATTTTGATTCTAGCTAACATGAATCAGTAGGAAAAAAAAATAGGAAAAGTGGAATTGGTGACATCAAAAGAAAAGACAAGTATTTTATTTTGAGATGGGGATCTCTATTCTTCTACTCAAATCTACCATTCTGTCCTGGCTGAGGTTCATTCTGAGATCACTCACAATAAAATCAGGAGCCCTTCTAGGCAGCTCTGGTTGTCAGCTCAGCCAGTGTGAGGCACATAACCCAATCCCCTTGGCATCTCCTATGATCACTGGAGCTAGACAGTGATCTTCTGAGAGCTACTGGGAGCTTAGAAAGCCTATTACTTTGTTATTTTTCAATTCAGTCAGGAATCTGGCATCATAAAGACAGTAGGAGCTTTTCCTTTAACTTCAAAGGGTGCCAGCTCTGGCACTGAGGCTGCATTGCAGATTAACACATAGAGAGCTCTTTTGATGGAGACTGTGCCTTTTTTATTTCAGAGTGGGGAGAAATGTTTATTTTATTTCACACAGATTCAGCTCAAAATCTTTTTTCTTAATTTTTTTTTTTCATGTAAGTCACCTCCAGGCTTTGTTGAAACTGTGGAAAACTTTGAAAGTTGGGGCATGTGCAAAAAAATGACAGGGCAACCTGAGACAAGGAGTGAGGTGGCTATGTGGTTCCCACTGTGCAGGACTCAGAATGTGGATGATCAATATTTGTAGGGCTCTGTCTCCCTTTCAGAGCTGCCTTAGGAAGCAAAGCATTTTCACATTTTGTTCTGAAAAAAGATGTTTTTCAGTCGTGATCGATTTAAGGTGACTTGATTTAAGGCAGGTGTTTGTGTGAAGTAGTGTGGGTTAGGTGTGCAGTTGTGCTCAGAATATTCCTTGTTCCCTTTCAGACCCTGTTTAAACCAATTTCTTTGATCCCACTAAGTTGAAGCTACTTTGAAAAATCCCTTTTTCCTTCTTCTTTCTTTTCTATTTTGTCTTACAGAGGCTGCCTGGGAATAACTTTTCTGTTTTTAACTGCTGTTCTTAAGCAATCTTCTGTTATTTTTTACATTTATATTTCCAGCTACTTAACTTACTCTTGTATAGCAAGTCTTTTTATTTTCCAATACGTAGAGAAAGAAACACTTAGTTTTGAAGTTCTACAAAAATGGAAGTCATTGTAATCATGATTTGATGTCCTTGGAACACACTTTATTTACTATTCAATAGCCACTGTTTTTATTAGGACATTGTTTGAACGTAACTTTAAGCCCAATAAGGTTCCAGGACTAATCTCCTGGGAGAGGATATTTATGGTCCATATTTTCAGAGAGAGAGATTGGAAGTAGAAAAAGGCTTAAGTATTTAGGCTTCGCTTCAGCTCTGAAGTCGGGGGAAATCTGTGCCTTGCAAATAGTCATTTGACCAGTTGAAGTGGTCGGTGCCATGTGCAGATGCCCAACTCAAAGGGGCAGTTGCATTCCATGAGCTCATTCCGAGCAGAAACGTGGGCCTCGGATTGTGTGTATTACTGCAGGGGAACTGACCTATTTTTCTGGAGAGAAAAAAAAAAATCTACCGTAAAAATCTAATTTGCAAGGACTGTAGGAGTGGAAACAATGCTTGTTTTTCTCTAGGATATTTGGTTATGCAAACAAAGTGATGAAGGACAAATTTCCAGCAGGAAAGAAACCCACTGATGGTCCTTGGTGTCATTCAATTAATAGCAATGCTCTTGAAAAGAAAGTGAAATAATGGTGCATCTTTCATAGAATCATAGAACTGTAGAATGCCCTGGGTTAGAAGGGACCCTAAAGATCATATAGTTCCAACCCCCCTGCCATGGACAGGGATATATTCCACTACTTAGTTGTAATCCATAATTTTGTATCCAGTGTGGAGCTTAATGCTTTTCTCTTGATATTTACTACAGCTTTTTGCATGACAGTTTGACTGCTTTCCTCCTGCAGATCCTGACCATTAGGAAGACACTGCTGCAGAGTCTGAAACCCAACCCATCTATCTATTCCTTATTCTCAAGAAACCTTGGGTTAGAAGTTGCTGAAAAATTTCCTTCTGGATAAATAACTGTGATGTTCCCACCAAGCACATGTTCTCAGTGAGTTGGATTTCTTCACTGGGATTGTTGAAACACTGTCCTGCTTGGAGGTCTCTCTTGTAGAGGAATTGTTCAACTCCACAAAAGGAGTGATAAAAGTTAAAATGCTTTGCATTCACTCCCAGGCACAAGACTTTATTATTTGAGATTCTGTTTGGAAATAAATGAGTTCTTGTCATAAATTAGGCATCTTCTACCATGGTTCTTACATATCAAAATTTCTCATCGTTCTGGAAGAAGATTCGAGTGTTTGTTCTCTTTCTTTTCTTGCCATTCATCTTTGTTTATTTATTTTGTATTCTTGAGATGTGCTTCATCTCTGGAGTTTGTATTTCTACTTTTAGCGTAAAAATGCTGTACATACAAGTCTAGAATGCATCTGAAGATTAGTCTAATTTTTCATGTGACTTTGACTTGAACATTTTTCTGTTTCTGTTTATATTGCTATTTCAAATATGTGCATTACCTGTATTCTTTATGCCTTTTCCCCATCTATAACTCAATAAAATAATGTCCCTGTTCTGCAGAACCATATTACATGTGCGTAACAGTGACAACAGTGTTTGAATAATAATGACTGATAATTGTAAATGTGTTAATCTATATATTTATATCTGTTTATAATCTATATCTATCTGTCACAGCCTGAAATTCTTCTGATGTGGGATTTGAGATGGGGAAAAAATTACCAGGGAGCGGTAAGCTCAGCTCAGAAATAATTCTTCTTAAGGCTATTTGGACTTGAAAAGTAGATTTTTCTGTTCCATAAAGGTTTATGTTCTTTATTTCAGTTCTCACCATGGCTAAGTTTAGAGCTGGTGCTACATGAGTCAAGGGAGGGTTCAGTGAAATGAGTCAACCCATTCCATCAGGCTGCACGTGTCTTTTATGTCACTACAGCTCAGGGATAAATAAATGACTGCAAGAAGTCCTTTGTCATAGAATATGCAAATTTCTAACGAGTGCTGGAGTAACCTTTCAGGGCTCTCAGTCATTACATAATTCAAAAGGAATGTACTCCAGGATGAGCCTGGTGAGCACCAAAGCAGCAGGTCTAAGAGATGGAGGTTGTTCTGCTCCACCATTTGAAGTTATAATAAAAGAGAAGGCTCTGAGAAGTTTGTGTGAGGACAGTACTGTCCTGTGCTACTCTTTGAACTTAATGTTCTTTGACCTGGCTCTGCCTTCTTAAAGTCTTTAAGGCATATTCTCAGCTGGCATGGACTAGCTTAATTTCCTTGACATTAGTTCAGCTCTTCTGATTTTTACCCACTGAAAACCTGAGAGTTTCACTGCATTTAAATGAAACTTGTTTATATGAAGCACAACCTTTTTAAAGGGATTTTTTGGTTTTTTTTAAATCTTCTCTACTAAGGAAAAGAGTAACACAACCTGGGGAATCTGTGGACTGATGCAAGTCTTAGGCCCTTAACTGGAGGACCTTCATCCTTGTCATGTGGTTCTTTACAACTCCCTTGATTTTCTGTGCTCCTTTGCTGGACAGACTTAGTGAGGTGCTCAGTTCTGTGCTGAAGTACAGTTCTAGCTGACATGAAGGGATGCCCAGATGGATGCAGGACTGAGGCTTTAATGAGGAGATTTTTGAGTCTCTGGACACAGGCTTTGATCTCAGAGTGAACTTATCAAAATTCTGAGTGCTCCAAGCATTCATGGACATTAAAGTCCCTCAGAGCAAGGACATGAAACCATTCAATGTTTCTTCTGCTTTGGGGAGACTCAGCTTTTTTTGGCATGTTTGGTAGGAGATGTTCACTGCCAGGAGAAACTTGAGGCCATTGTACAATACTAGCTTTTTACTGCTGTAATATTCCTTTGGGTCTCAAAAGTTTAGTGAAGTCAGTGGGAAATTTTCTATCACACTCAGGAACATATTCTTGCTGCAAGTAAGACTCCATCAAGTACAGTTATTTACAAAGCAGTCAAAGAGGGGAAGACATTTCTTGTCCTTCTCCATTTAATGCTGGCCTCTGTTCAGGATTTTAAATCATATAAATTGTGAAGTTTAAATACAGTGAAGTCTGAAACAATTCTGTCTGCTTCTCTGTGGGATGCTTACCACAGGGGAAGGGCAATGGGACCTCCAAGGAGATTTCTGAGGATTGTGAGAGAAGCCAGTGGTCATGATGACAGTCTCACTTACCTATACCAAGACTTACCTTCATCACTCAACTATTGATTGCAGTTATATTTTCTCATGTGTCCTAAAATGACAGCTTCTGACTCCTTTTCCATGTTGGAGGTATAGTACACACATATAGACATCTTCAATCACAAACAAGATACATTCCTGCCACAGGATGAGCAGATTTCGGGTTGCTCCAGTACAGAATTCCTTGTTCAAGGAAAAAAATCTTGTAATGGGGTCCAGGCAAAGGACAGCAACAAAAATGACAACAATTTGAAGAATTATAATCTTAACTATGTGGGCTGCTCTAGTAAGAGTTCTACCCTTCCACGGTGGGGTAGATTTGAAAGCCTGCAAAATTGTGTGCCAGGATCAAAGCACATAGCTCAACTGGGATTGCTCATTCTTTGAGAACTGGGGGCTTCTGAGGAGGATTTCTGCTTTGGGCTGGGATGAAAAGCTAAACCAGCAAATATGCTCATGGTTTAAAAAGCTTGAATTTCAGACTGGGCTAATCAAATCACATTGATTCTATACATCAGCTTGCAGTTTACAATAAAAATTAAATTTGGACAAAAATATCTTCAACTTGAAAAGGGGAGTTTGCTTAGAAGTTGACTCTGTCCCTAACCAGCTCCTAGCCCTGTGCTTGGGCTTTGTGCCTGTAATCACAGGATAAAAAAAGTCCAAGGCAGGCAGAAAACACGACAGAAAAATCTAACAATAAGAAAGGTGAGAGACTGAAATCCAAGTGCAAAGACCTGTCTACAGGACACTTAACCACAGGATCCAGTTCCATACCCTTGTGAGTGTGTTTGCAGCACAGAAACCTTGCAGAGCATGTGCCTGCAATATGCCCACAGCTGAATGGGCTGCCAACGCTCTCCTGAACACTGAGTTCATTCATTATTATTGCTGGGTTTTTAGGAGGCAAGATGAGCAAAATCAACATCAATCTCCAACAGATGGGACTAGAGCAGGGCAGCTGCAGGCATACGGTGCACTACATAAGGCTGTGCGAGCACACGTGGAATCCTCTGCCCTCAGAGCTCTGGCATTTCTGTTACACAGGCAGCAGGAAAACACAATTATCTGAATTAACTGCCTGCAAATCCCTTTGCTTTGTCCTGCCCAGTCAGAAAACCAGGGGAACACTGAGTCCAGAGGTGCAATTAGTCACGTGGCAGCTGTAAAAAAGCACACAACTGCCTGTGTGAGATGAGCAAGGGCATTCCTGTGAGCCTCCTGCCTTTTCTTTTTTGTTCTTGGGATCTCATTTTATTTTTGTTTTACCTTTGAGGCTGGTAAATGAGATTACAGGCATGCAGGAAATAAAATACAGCGGAAACATGTGTAAACAAGATTATTAGGCCAAAACAGTGCCTCTCAGCACATTAACTGCACTGGGGGATGTACAGCTGGGGCAGGGCTTGAGGCATTTCTGCCTGGGTACAGCAGATGATGGCAAAAAAATACTAATGCTGTGCTCTGAGACAGCTCTTACCCCTGTTTATTGAGTGCAAGCAAACTAAGGATGGGAAAGAAGCATAAAGAATTTGATTTGTTTCGGGTGGTTTTATTATTCCTTCCCCTGTAGAAATCATGTTGGATTTCCACAACTTTAAAAGGATCTCAGCTGTCATTTCTCTGTTTCTCATGTGTGTACCCACATACAATTTCCAGTTCCACGGGCCACAAGGATAGGACATTAGGAGTTGCCTTAGGATGAGAAATCTGATAATGACCAAACATATCTTATTGGTGATAGGGAGGGGATACTTTTGGATGGGTTCTTTGCTGTTGATCTAAAATGCTTGAGATTGTTAATACAGCCCAAGTCTGCCCAGTATGTCTTTAGTATGGTCTGAAGAGCTGTGAACTCTTAGCATCAAGAGCTCTACACGAGGAAGGGGCCACAGGAGAATGAAATTAGATTGTGCTTAAAAAAACCCACATAAACACATCACGACAAATACTGCACCTTTCTGCTTGCTGGCAGAATCTCTGCTCCCTCCCACGCAGCCCCAGCTGGAGAGCCTTTACTTACAGCAAAGCTGCTCTGCTTGTGTCAGTCCCTTTCCACTCACTGTTCCCTCTCCCTCCCTTCATAGGCAGCAGGAGCTGCCACCACAGCCCTCTTTTCTGGCTCTGAGGGGGTTCCCCACTCTTGTACTTCGCAGCAGGCAAAGCAAGAAGACATTTATTTGAAGCTAGATTTTGGTCAGGGTGATCTTTCCTGCTGCGGAGTTAAACAGGTCCAGTTTCTGCAGTGAGCATCCTGCTTCATTTTCAGGGTGGAGTAAGGTCTTCCACCCAGGCCTTGAACCTGTCTCACCCATAGAGTGAAGGCAGAGGAGCTCTGTGTTCGTGTGCTTCTGGGTTTGAAAGTGCCTTTCAGACTCGAGTTGAACCTGGTGTTTTGTGTCAGGTTAAGTTAATGGGTTCTGGGGATGTGGGGGCTCTGTGGGGGAGCTTTTCTTGAATGGAAATGGCCAAATTCTGGTCTACTTTGGGAGTGGAAGGATCAGTGCTGCTGCAGAAAGGTCATCTAGTGATAATGATCCCTTATTCCCCCCTCTGTCAACCAGGGAAAGGAGGGAATAAGTATCTTGAGCAACCTGGTCTAGTGGAAGGTGTATCCCTGCCTACAATGGGGTGGGTTGGAACGAGATGATCTTTAAGTTCCCTTCCAACCCAAACCATTATGCGACTCTATGATCTTACTGAACTGTGCTGAGTCCTGGCTGAGTAAAGGGCCCTTAGTTTCTATCCATAAAGAGCAAAGCTTAAAGTAGCTTTTGGGAAGAAAATGGGGTAGAAGGCAGGAATTAATTTTCTTTTACTCACTCGGTGAGGTGGGGAAGTTAGGAACAGATGTGTGCTCCAGCAGTTAATGAAGTGTGAGTGATTGCTTCCCCTCCTGCTTAGGAAGCACAGCAGAGTGCTTGCTTCTGTGCCACAGGCCATTCTCCAGTCTGAACGGGGATTCCAACAAGGATAAGTGTCCAATAGTGAGGAATGAGCTGAGCAGCCTTTGGGAACCAAAGGGGTGGCAGCAGCTTCAGTGCTATTTATATGTTAGCCAGGATCTATTTTATAGGTGGACCACAGCTATCATTCCTCAACTGCATTACCCTCTGTGAAGGGTAACCAATAATGTGGATTAACTTAAACAAGATAACTCACCCAAAGAGGAAATGCAAAGTACCATTTTGAGAAGAGCATGCTCCTAAGGTGTTAAAAAGATGGAAAGCTGACAGAATTACCAAGTATCTCTTATTTACTTTCCTGTGGGCTCATCAAAGTTTTCTTGACATTATTCTGTGAATCAGCTTTTTGTAGAGCTGGAGGTTATTTATTAAGACTTACTAACACGGATTGCC